TCCTTCTTACCACTATAAATACAGACGCATTATCGCCGATATTTCATATCCTCATCAAACCAAAACACAAAGTATAATAATTATTCACTTACAAAAAAAACATTCAATCATGACCGTTGATTTAGCTTTGCAAGCTCCGATGATTCACTCACCTTCCGACAAGGATTTGAAGGCTCTCAGGTTCATTGAGGAGATGACACGTAACGTTGATTTCGTCCAGAAGAAAGTCATTAAGGAGATACTTAGTCGTAACTCGGAGACTGAATACCTAAAAAGGTTCGGTCTCAAGGGTTTCACCGACCGGAAAACATTTAAGAACAAAGTCCCGGTTATTACTTACGACGACATTAAACCGGAGATTCAACGTATAGCAAATGGTGATCGGTCCATGATCTTGTCTTCTCACCCCATCACCGAGTTCCTCACCAGGTATATTTAAAATAACATCAAATTTCAAACGATTTGAAATTCAATTTTTATATTTAATAATTTATAATTGTTGATTATTCTGTTGCATGCAGCTCTGGTACATCTGCTGGTGAAAGGAAGTTAATGCCGACCATTGAAGAAGACATGGACCGACGTCAGCTTTTATACAGTCTTCTCATGCCTGTGATGAATCTGTTAGTTACATTTATTTCATTTTATTTTATTCGCAATACATCAACTTTCATTTTGTGGTAACTATCAGCTACATGCCAAGAACAGTACATTAAAATTTTGAAGAATTCTGAAAAGTAGTATATATATTTTTTTTATAAGTCTTATTTTATTAAGTTAACAAATATTCTTCAAATTCTTAACTCACAGTCCCCGAAAACTAAATTTGAAGGTCTAAACCATTATCATATAAAACTCATAAACCCTAATTCTTGAAATTTTAATTCTTAACTCTAAGATCTAAATTTGAAGGTCTAAACTATTTCTTTAATTTTAAAAGATTTAGAAAATTCAATTTTTTTTTACATTTTGATTATATTTTTTTCCAATTATCCTTTGAAATGTTATCATTCTATTTGCAATAATGAGCTAAATTATAAAAGATATATATAATAATGATACTAAGAATTTTTTCAAAACTCTAAATGTTTTTGTTACAGCTACGTACCGGGATTAGACAAAGGCAAGGCTCTGCACTTTCTGTTCGTGAAATCGGAATCTAAGACTCCTGGCGGACTACCGGCTCGTCCGGTGCTAACAAGTTACTACAAAAGCGAACATTTCAAGAGACGACCGTACGATCCGTACAACGTGTACACGAGCCCTAACGAAGCCATCCTTTGTCCCGACTCGTCCCAAAGCATGTACACTCAAATGCTTTGTGGTCTCCTTATGCGTCACGAAGTTCTCCGTCTCGGCGCCGTCTTCGCTTCCGGTCTCCTCCGTGCAATCCGGTTCCTTCAAACCAATTGGCAAGAACTCGCCGACGATATCTCAACCGGAACGCTAAGCTCAAGAATCTCCGATCCGGCGATTAGAGAGAGCATGTCCAAGATCTTGACCAAACCGGACCAAGAACTAGCTGATTTCATAGCTTCGGTTTGTGGAGAAGACAATAATTGGGAAGGCATCATTACCAAGATCTGGCCAAACACTAAGTACCTCGACGTCATCGTTACCGGAGCCATGGCTCAGTATATCCCGATGCTCGAGTACTATAGCGGCGGATTACCGATGGCTTGCACGATGTACGCATCATCCGAGAGTTACTTTGGGATTAACTTGAAACCAATGTGTAAACCTTCTGAGGTTTCTTACACCATTATGCCAAACATGGCTTACTTCGAGTTTCTTCCTCATGAAGCCTCAACCGACAAAACCGAACTAGTGGAGCTAGCTGATGTCGAGGTTGGGAAGGAGTACGAGCTCGTGATCACTACCTACGCCGGACTTTGTCGTTATAGAGTTGGCGATATTCTTCAGGTGACCGGATTTTACAACTCCGCTCCACAGTTCAAGTTTGTGCGGAGGAAGAACGTTTTGCTTAGCATCGAGTCGGATAAGACCGATGAAGCTGAGCTACAAAAAGCGGTCGAGAATGCATCGGTGTTACTTGGGAAGCAAGGAACCCGCGTGATTGAGTACACGAGCTACGCAGATACAAAGACTATACCTGGCCATTACGTAATCTATTGGGAGCTTCTAGTGAAGAATCAAAACAACCCTCCAAGCGATGAGGTCATGGCTCGGTGCTGCCTTGAAATGGAGGAATCGTTGAACTCTGTCTATAGACAGAGTAGGGTTGCGGATAAGTCTATTGGACCTCTCGAGATACGTGTGGTGAAGAACGGGACGTTCGAGGAACTCATGGACTATGCTATCTCGAGAGGAGCTTCGATTAATCAGTACAAGGTTCCGAGATGTGTGAGCTTCACGCCGATCATGGAGCTGCTTGACTCAAGGGTTGTATCAACACATTTCAGCCCGGCTTTGCCACATTGGTCACCGGAACGACGTCGTTAAAAGTTGTTAGCTATCTTGTTTTGTTTTAGGGTTTGTGTCGTACAATAAGTTCGGCGTACGGATGCGTTTACCCGATCAATGTTTCCAGTTTCTCTATCCTCTCTCTCTGAATTCAAGTAATAAATAATTGAGTAACGTAATTCCCAACAAAGAGTGGAAGTACTATGCACTTATGCTAATTATATAATAGTTCAAATTATACTACTATCTACTTCGATTTAGCTTCGTTAAAAACATTTTCATATAAGAAATATGGAATAAAAAAAAAACCGCATTTTATCAGATAAGATTTTAATTGGGCCAAGTTTGGATTTTATTAAAAACATACATAATATTATGTTATTTTAGTTTAAAAGATGGTCCAGTAAAGGTATGGGACTATAGAAAAGCTTAACTCATATATGGGCCGATGTTATTACAGCCCCTATTTCTCAACATGTATTTGTTCAAATCATATATGTATATCTTGATTTTTCTTTTGTTAATTATGATTTATATCTTGTTAGAAGTGATTCATGCTTATATATGCATGTTCAATGCCGAATCGCCGATGGCATAATATGATGCTTATTCGGTTTTTCCTGTGTTCATACTCCATATGTATTTAATTATTTATTGTTAGATTAGTCGTGAATGATAGATAACAAATAAATATATCCCACAAATTTAGCTTCTTCAAGCAGCAAGCGTAAATATGTTCCTAGCTCCAAACTTCCACAACGCACTATGTTGTTGTTTTTTAGTATATGGAGTTGTACGATTGATAATTGATTTAGAGATTCATATTTCTGAAAAGTGGAGCAGAAGATAGGATAATATCATCGGTGTAACTTGGGAAATGTGGATTGTTCTTTGAGAGTTGTGCCATCCATTCTAAAATAAAGCCCATCACAAAGGTTTTAGAAATTGTATTTGTATCCGATGACAATAAATAAATACAAAATAGAAATGAATTGTTTTGCCATAATCATTTTTAAAATGGGTTGAGAGAAGTTTTTATTTTCATCTCTCATTACATTTTTACAACGATATTATACACATAACCTTCGTTACATAACATATTCTTATTCTTCTTAATTTAGATTCACTTACTTCAATTTTTCTACAAAAAAATTGACTTTAGGTCTATTAATCCATGTAAAGTATGTACAGAGCGTTTCCTCCACGCTTTTTTTCTACTTAGTACCCATTCCGTTAGATTTCGTGATATATATAAGTAATAAAAACTTTCATAATTACGTATAAACTAAGAGGTTTGTGGATTGTCTAATTCTATACCCTATGGTATGTGAAGCTCCTGGTAAATTTATGTTCAATGCCAAACGTTTAAGAAAACGTTGTATAGATTTCAATTTTCTTTTTAAAGAAAATTTATAATATAAAGTTTAAATATAACCATGTCATTTTAATTATTAACTAGTTCAATTTGAATTTTTTTTTGTTTTAATTAAAGGCTAAATTATCATTTTAAAAAATATAAGCTATATTTTTAATTCTTTACATATTTGTTATAGATTTTAAATTTCTAATAACATTTAGGATATGGATCAAATTATTACTAATAAAATGGTTAGTTTTCACTTTTCAAAAACTTGACTGATACAAGAATTAATTCAAATTATAAGATCTTTTTTTACTATTAAAATAGCTCAAGTTTTTTTATGGATACTTTGTCAGCAAAACTACCATTTATTTACCACCTAACAAAATTACCTTATAAAAATTTCTATTTTTTTAAAAAGGTGCCTAGTGAAGAAAAATCAAAAGAGAAATAAAACAGAGAATCTTTGAGATAAGAAGCTTGTGACCTTGTGTACCCACGCACGCGCTACCACGTTGAGTCTCTACTCCACCTTGTGGTACCCACACTCGCATGACCTGGCATCATCTCCGTCGTTCCTTCCATCTCGCCACGTCACCAACCTAACTATTCGTCTCTGTATTTCTAGGAGGATGTGGTCCCCGATTTCCGCAATGACATGGCGCAATGACATGACACAATCACATTTTCTCTCATCATAATTCTTTCATTTTTTTTTTGTATACACAACCTTTTGATTTTGATTGATATACGAGGAAAAACTTTTCCTCTATAGATATGTTCTGCGTTTTGCATTAAAAGAAAATTATGCGTGTTATTAAAAATATAGCTCTTTTTACAACTACAATATAGCCTTTTTTAAAAATGTGTAGCTTCTAGTAACAAAAATAAAATAAAACGGTTATTGAATGAAATTTTAAACAAAAACAAGCTAGATATGTTACTATCAGATTGTCAATCAACAAAACTGGTAGCTGTTTCCAATTTGATGAATTTGGAGATTTTTGGGTCATTTTCCTTAATTATATAAATAGACAACTTAACAGCAATATTTGACTATTATAGATTTTCATATAGAGTTTTTTTTTTTTTGTATAGAGTTATTATTTCAAAGATTTTTTTTTGAATTATTCTTACCCAGTCACACACCAGTTATCTGTTTTACTTCTGCAGGTGATTTTATGTGAAATATCATTCAAAGAAAAAAAAATTCATGTAATCATTGATTTTCATTTAAAAAGTTATGGATTATTGTGTGACAAATGTAAAGAGAATATTATGAAATGTAATGTCTATATATACTGAGATAGAAAATGAAGTGCAAGTAAGAAAGACGTGAAGCCAATAAAAACAAAAAAAGCGAAACTGAAACAGATTCTCAACAGTCACCGGCAAAAATGTCACGTCTCGAGAACGATCGTCCGCTTCTAACCGATAGAATCGATGAGGAGGAAGAAGAGACGGCGTACGAAGAGACGGAGAAAGTTCACATCGTGAGAGACGAGGACGACAACGGAAGGGATCTCGAGTACGGCGTCGGATGCGGCGGCGCGCCGCCGTTTTCGTGGAGGAAGCTATGGCTTTTCACCGGACCTGGGTTTTTGATGAGCATTGCGTTTCTCGATCCAGGGAACCTCGAAGGAGATCTCCAAGCCGGCGCCGTCGCCGGTTACTCGCTTCTGTGGCTGCTCATGTGGGCGACGGCGATGGGGCTTTTGGTTCAGCTTTTATCGGCGAGGCTAGGCGTCGCGACGGGCCGTCACTTGGCGGAGCTTTGCCGTGAGGAGTATCCGACTTGGGCGGGTATGGTTTTGTGGGTCATGGCGGAATTGGCTTTGATCGGATCTGATATTCAGGAAGTCATCGGAAGTGCGATTGCGATCAAGATTTTGACCAATGGGATTTTGCCTCTCTGGGCTGGTGTCGTCATCACTGCTCTCGACTGGTAAAAATCAAAACTTCTCTAATTCGCAAATTAGCTTACTTTAAATCAAATTTCAGTCTTCTTGGACTGTTTAATTGACCAATTAGCTACTAAAAATTTCATCTTTATGTGTCTACTGATTCGTTGTTTTAGCTCATTTAATGTATGGACTGTTACAATTTTTTTGAATAATTTGTCGTTATGTCTCTACAGTTTCGTCTTCTTGTTTCTCGAGAACTACGGAATTAGGAAACTTGAAGCAGTATTTGCGGTTTTGATCGGAACAATGGCAATCGCATTCGCTTGGATGTTTGGTCAAGCGAAGCCAAGTGGCTCTGAGCTTCTCGTTGGTTAGTCTCTCTCTCTTTATCCAACTCTCATTGTACAAATTCTCACTTCCCTTAAGTGTTAAAGAAGTCTGCTTTTCTTGTTCTTGCAAGGGATCTTGGTACCGAGGCTGAGCTCAAGAACGATACAAAAAGCAGTTGGGGTTGTGGGTTGCATTATAATGCCACATAACGTGTTTCTTCACTCGGCTCTCGTTCAATCGAGAGAAGTCGATAAAAAGCAGAGATACAGAGTCCAAGAAGCTATAAACTACTACACGATCGAGTCCACGATCGCTCTCTTCGTCTCCTTCATGATCAACCTCTTCGTCACGACGGTTTTCGCTAAAGGGTTCTACAACACTGACTTAGCCGATAGCATTGGACTTGTGAACGCGGGACAGTATCTTCAAGACAAGTACGGAGGAGGGATGTTCCCGATACTGTACATTTGGGGAATCGGGCTACTCGCTGCTGGACAGAGCAGTACCATCACTGGTACTTACGCGGGACAGTTCATCATGGGAGGGTTTTTGAATTTCAAGATGAAGAAATGGATGAGAGCTTTGATCACGCGTAGCTGCGCGATTATTCCAACTATCATCGTTGCGCTTGTGTTTGATTCATCTGAAGCTACACTCGACGTCTTGAACGAGTGGCTTAACGTGCTTCAGTCCATTCAAATCCCCTTTGCGCTAATCCCGTTGCTCTGTTTGGTTTCCAAGGAACAGATCATGGGTAGTTTCAAAATCGGTCCTTTGTATAAGGTTTGTGATCTATATATAAGCTCTTTGACTACATTCATAAAGATTTCATCTTTTTGTGAACTCTCACATTGCTTTTACTTGTGTGCAGACAATCGCATGGCTTGTTGCTGCGCTTGTGATAATGATAAACGGTTATCTTTTGCTTGAGTTCTTCTCCTCGGAGGTTAGTGGCGTAGTCTATACCGGTGTAGTGACTGTGTTCACGGCTTCTTATGGTGCATTCATATTCTACCTCATTGCTCGTGGCATCAATTTCACTCCGTGGCGTTCTAAAACAGAGATCTAGTCGACGAGAATGAACCAAACAGAGACAAATGTAGCTCTATGTGTTTTGATCATTAGGAAAATGAGTTATCTTTTGTATTATATGTAATGTATCATAGAGTGGCTCTTGTGTTTTGTCTTGCTGTAACAGAAAAATAGTCATAAGATGATCTTTCTATGTATTAGTAGACAGGTCCAAGAAATGTGAGTTAATAAGATCATTTCACCATCTGCTATTGTTGTTGTGGATTTTAACTTAATGTAATAGTATCCAAATTGTGAAAAAAAACTATTTTTTTTTTTTAAACAGAGGTGACTCAACGAAAAATTCAGGACTAGAATTGGGAAATAATTTTGTTTGTCCATTTTAGTCTTTAGTAAATGCTTTGTGTATATAAACACTTAATTTTTGGAATGAAAACAGAATGAAAGTTGGCCATAGTAATGTTGAATTAATGGAATTGGGGTCTAGAAGTAGAATAGATTGTTAGAGTGTTTAGTGGTTGAACAATTAAAACTACAATAATTGAAAATGAAACAGACATAGTAGTGATATGATTATCAAATATCATTTTTTCGACAAACAATGTAAAAAATGAAAAATAAATATTTCATTTTATTTAACTTAACATCAACATAATCTGTATATGTGACTTTGGTCATTAAGTTCTGAATAAAGACAGTGTATAATTTGTACCGGATATCAATTTATAGTCGTTCTCCGAATAAAAAATTTAAAAAGGTGAGACGGAAAAAATAATATCTAAATTTATAAAAATAATAATTTTTCCTTCTCACATTTATTCAAACAATTTATTCATGGAATCATTAAAAACAGATAGTTAGATAGAAATATAAACGATTAATAAAATATTGTAAAATTGCTGAAACATTCCTTACTAATAGAAGAATTTAAGATCATAGCTAAAATCTTATTGTAATTTAAAAAAATTAAGGACGAGCTGACAACAAATTTACGGACAGCAAATTTCCATCTGAGTCATCTGACCAATTGGAGAAGCGTTAGAACTTTTGGAATCTTTTTTTCTTTTCTTTCTTTTTGGTTCTTTCGGTAAACGAAAAACTTAAATAAAATAATAATACAGAGAGGAGGGGAAGAAGAAGAAGAAGAATTGCTTTTACGTGCTCAACTATAATCGGAAGACGGAGGAAGATCGATCGAGAGAGAGAGAGAGAGAGAGAGAGAGAAAGGTTCATTTCTCCTCGACGGTGACTCTTCTTCTTCTTCTTCTTCACGTGCATGTATGTTCTTCTCTCTTTAGTTTCGATCTATCTACTTAGGGTTTTTATTTCATAAAAAAATTCCATTTTTCCTGTTCCTTAAGCTCTCCGTCAAAACTCTTGCTCACATTTTCGAGAGACCCATTGATCAATTTATAATCTTGTCTCTCGATTTCTTGGTAAATTTGCGTTTTTTTGGAGTTATTGTTTCGTTCCAAGCTGTTTGAATTTGAATTTTGAATTGGGGAGACTTATTAGGTTTTTCTATTGGCGTTTTCCTCGGAATTTATGAGATTTAATAGGACTATCCGATTCGTTTACCCTTTTGATCAAAGTTTCAACCTTTGTTTCAGGGTGGAAATGGAAGTCTCTGTGTTGAAATCTCTCGTCGACAGCATCTCTTCGTTTCTAAATCTGTCGTCTTCAAAACATATCGATTTAGACCCGTTTGAGAAGTACTACAAGAGAGTCGAGGAATTGTTGAGAGTGTTGAAACCAATAGCAGATGCCGTCTTCAACTCCTCCGATCTTGTTTCGGATGAGAAACTCGGTAAAGCGTTTGAAGAATTGACTCAAGATGTTGATCAATCGAGAGATCTCTTCAGAAGCTGGCAAGCATTCTCCAGCAAAGTCTACTTTGTAAGTTCCTCAAAACTTCTCCTCTTAGTTCTTGTTTGAAGCTATACGGGATTTGCATAACCATGTGATAGACTGTTCAATTGCTCACTATAGCTAAGTTTTGAGCTTTAGTTACTGAAGATATCGTTTTGGTTTGATGAAGTTCTCTTAATATCCACGTCTAGGTACTCCAAATTGAATCTTTGATACCAAAGATGCGAGACACTATTGTGGATACTTTGGAGTTTCTGATGTCTTGTAATAACGACCTACCTGATGAACTGAGTCCAGCTTCCCTTGAGGTACCTTCTCTTTACATTTTGAAGAATCTTATATCAGTTTCCATGGTTTCTTCAGAACATTACCTTTAAAATGTTTGTTATTGCAGCAATGCCTTGTGAAGGTTAAGCATCTTAGTTATGAAGAGATATCTTCTGTGATCGATGGTGCTCTAAGGGATCAGAGAGACGGTGCTGGACCAAGCTCGGAGATCTTGGTGAAAATAGGAGAGAACACTGGTCTGAGATCGAACCAGGAGATTCTAATCGAAGCTGTTGCTCTAGAGAGGCAGAAAGAGATCGCTGAGCAGTCGGAGAACAACTCGGAGGTGGAGTTCCTCGACCAGCTTATCGTCATCGTGAACCGAATGCACGAACGTCTTCTCCTGATCAAACAGACTCAGACGTCAAGCGTCGCCATCCTCGCAGACTTCTTCTGTCCTCTGTCTCTCGAAGTGATGACTGATCCAGTGATTGTGTCTTCAGGACAAACCTACGAGAAGGCCTTCATCAAGAGATGGATCGATTTGGGTTTGAAAGTTTGTCCCAAGACTAGGCAGACTCTGACTCACACCACTCTGATACCTAACTACACCGTCAAGGCCTTGATCGCTAACTGGTGCGAGACGAACGACGTCAAGCTCCCTGATCCGAACAAATCGTCGAGCTTAAACGAGCTTTCTCCTCTCTTGTCATGTACAAACTCTGTTCCTGATGTTGTTGTTAGAGTTAACAATAAGTCAAATGATTGGGATGCTTCTGCAAGCAGAGCAATGGAAAGAGAAGGCTCTTCTCCTTCTCCTTCTCCTTCTTCACCAGATAGATCGAACGATTCTCGAGAAACGAAGACTGATGCGCCGAGTAGGTCCTCTGTATCGGTGGAGAACGGACAAGCGTCGGAGAACCACAACCACCACCATCATCAGAGATCACCTTCTGCTGCTAGCTCTGCTTCGAACGAGGAGTTTCCGAGAGGAGCAGACGGTAACGAGAACTCTGAAGAATCAGCTCACGCTACACCTTACAGCAGTGACGCCTCGGGAGAAATCAGATCAGGTCCTCTCGCTTCCGCAGCAACTTCAGCTAATGCAGCAGCTACACGGCGAGACTTATCCGACTTCTCTCCGAAATTCATGGACAGACGAAACCGTGGCCAGTTCTGGCGGCGTCCTTCGGAGAGGCTCGGTTCAAGAATCGTCTCAGCGCCTTCGAACGAGCCGCGGCGTGATCTCTCCGAGGTCGAGAACCAAGTCAAGAAGTTGGTTGAAGAGTTGAAAAGCAGTTCGTTGGATGTTCAGAGACAAGCGACATCAGAGATAAGGTTGTTAGCTAAACACAACATGGATAACAGAATAGTGATCGGAAACTCCGGCGCGATCGTCTTGTTAGTCGAACTGCTTCACTCTAACGACTCAGCCACGGTGGAGAACGCCGTTACCGCGCTTCTCAACTTGTCCATCAACGACAACAACAAGAAAGCGATAGCCGACGCAGGAGCCATCGAGCCGCTCATCCACGTGCTCGAAAACGGTAGCTCTGAAGCTAAAGAGAACTCTGCCGCTACGCTCTTTAGCCTCTCTGTGATAGAAGAGAACAAGATCAAGATAGGCCAGTCTGGCGCGATAGGGCCTCTCGTTGATCTGTTAGGTAACGGTACGCCTCGTGGCAAGAAAGACGCTGCGACGGCGTTGTTTAACCTCTCGATACATCAGGAGAACAAGGCGACGATCGTGCAGTCAGGTGCTGTGAGGTACCTTATTGACCTTATGGATCCTGCGGCTGGGATGGTGGATAAAGCGGTTGCGGTTCTGGCGAATCTTGCTACGATCTCTGAAGGAAGAAACGCGATTGGGCAAGAAGGTGGGATCGCTCTTCTTGTTGAGGTTGTTGAGTTGGGTTCGGCGAGAGGGAAAGAAAACGCTGCGGCGGCTCTGCTTCAGCTTTCGACCAACAGTGGTCGGTTCTGCAATATGGTTCTCCAAGAAGGAGCTGTTCCTCCTCTTGTCGCTCTTTCGCAGTCTGGTACTCCCAGAGCCAGAGAAAAGGTACAAACTTTATAAATCTTTCACCGTGAATCTCTCTTGTTTTGAAGAGTTTGTTGTTGTTCTAACGTTTTTGGAGGATGTTGTAAACTTATTCAGGCACAGGCATTGCTAAGTTACTTTAGGAACCAAAGGCATGGAAACAATGGACGTGGCTGATGGATGATGAAGCATAGGTTTTGGTTACTCGGTGTCTATTTTGTGTTTGTCGTTCTTACCAAAGTAGTGATTTTGTACAAAAAGAGGTTTCTTCTGCAAATAATTTTATACCCAAGATTTTGTTGAGTCTCTGCATTCATTAATTTTCGATTGATATTCCCTGGAAATATACTTTAATTTGAAATAGAAGTTTGATTCTGATTTGTATAAGTCGTTGAAGAAGACAATGTAGTTGTGAATTGAGTGACAATGTTTAACCATTGATGGACTAAATAGCAAAGCTGATTCTGTGTGTTTGTACTGGTATAACAGGATTTTATTTTTAAAAGGTATATAAACTATTTATTCGTATATCAAACGAAATAAAAGATTGATACAAAATGTGAGCTTTAAAGGAGAGAAGCAATAGTATAGTTATCAAAAATAACACAATATTTTTTTTATTAAAAAGCCAATGCAAGTAGAGCCCACGAGATTGCCGCAGCTCCCACCATCACATTGTGCATTCCCCTTTTGCTTCCTACTCCACTCTGCATTAAATCAAAATTTCAATTTCAATTTATAACAAAATCGAATCTAACAGAAAACAACAATGCATTTTATTTTCCACAGATCATCAAGATTTTTGGTAAACAATTTCCCACAAGATCACTACGTAAAACATCCAAGATTAATCTCTAAGTGTACCCACGTGAAGTTAGTTTGTATAATAAAGTAGAAGTGTAACGAGATTACGCCCTTACCGTTATAACCATACTTATTTTTGTGCAACCGTGCGGGTCAAGTGTATACATTATTAAAAAAGTGTTTGATCGTACGAAACTAATGTTACCTGATCATCGGCGGCATCGGGAGCTAAATCGTCGCTGGGTCCAGGAGCTTCCACGGGAGGTGCAGTCGGACTTGGAAGCTCCGGAGCTGGAGCCGGCGCGTTATTGTGCTTCTTCTTCTTCTTCTTGTGTTTGCTCGGAGCTGGAGCCGGTACATCGGCTGAAGGCGCAACCACCGGAGCCGGTGAAGGAGCCGGAGGAGGAGAATCAGTTTCCGGTGAAGGAGCAAGCGGAGAGATCTGAGGAGTAGAAGAAGCCTCAGGTGTAGGAGAAGGAGACAATGTCACTGGCGCAGGAGCGGAAGATTGCGGAGGAGCTGGCACTGGAGTCTTCGCTGGAGCCGGTACATCGGCTGAAGGCGCAACCACTGGAGCCGGTGAAGGAGCCGGAGGAGGAGAATCAGTTTCCGGTGAAGGAGCAGGCGGAGAGATCGGAGGAGTAAAAGAAGCCTCAGGTGTAGGAGAAGGAGTCAATGCCACTGGCACAGGAGCGGAGGATTGCGGAGGAGCTGACACTGGAGTCTTCGCCGGAGCCTCCGTGGGAGTGGATTCCGGCGATGTCGGAGAAGCTGGGGAGATGGCAGGAGCTGTGGATTGAGGTTTATGAGGAGACATAGAAGGAGTCAATGCCACTGGCGCAGGAGTGGAGGATTGCGGAGGAGCTGACAATGGAATCTTCGCCGGAGCCTCCGTTGGAGTGGATTCCGGCGACGTCGGAGAAGCTGGGGAGATGGCAGGAGCCGTGGATTGAGGTTTATGAGGAGACATAGAAGGAGTCAATGCCACTGGCGCAGGAGTGGAGGATTGCGGAGGAGCTGACAATGGAGTCTTCGCCGGAGTCTCCGTTGGAGTGAATTCCCGCGACGTCGGAGAAACTGGGGAGATGGGAGGAGATGACACTGGAGTCTTCGCCGGAGTCTCCCTTGGAGTGGATCCCGGCGACGTCGGAGAAGCTGGGGAGATGGCAGGAGGTGTGGATTGAGGTTTATGAGGAGACATAGAAGGAGAATTGGTCGGAGCAGCGGCCGGAGATTGGCCACCGACACCGGAGAAGATAATGCAGATCAATGTAACCGACAAGGGGAATTTGCGATCCATAATTTGAGATTAGTTGAGAGAAGGAAGGAATTAGAATGAGTGACTGTGACTGTGACTGTGAGTGAGTGAATCATAACTACTCGTGCGCATTTGTCTGTATATTATAAGTGAATTTTAAGAGATCTGGACCGTCGATCAAAGATATGGGACCCATGGAGTTTATGAGCTGAAAGGTCCAGTTTGGCTTTGGGCCCAATACTTTCTGTTGTTTTTTTGTTTCACTTTTTATTTATTACAAACTGAATTTCTTACAGAACTGGAAAGCTTGGGAGTATGGACATGATTGACAATTGACATATTCGGATGACAATCTCATGCAGCCACCGTCACCATTATGTACAGTGAATACGATATAAAATCAACTGAATATGATATTTTGATGATGATCCTAACATTTCCGAATATATTTCTTATTTTTGAGCTACTATTCTGACCTCTTATTTTAGTCGCAGATCTAATGACTCTTTTAAAAATATAAAAGTTTGAACAAAAGAAAATTTTGCATGAACGACTTAATTCTAATTTTTCTAGTAACTATAGTTGTGTTACTAAATAATAATTCTAGTGGTATTGGTGGTATTGCTAACTTAAGCATGAGTCGTGAAGATTTGTTTCTCCCTTTGTTCTCCGATTTTATCTGAAATTTGTTCTCCTAGTTCATTCAATAAACTTGCATCATTTGGTCCAAGCAAGTTTGGTTGACTGAGAGGGATAAGTTTTAGAAAAATCAATCATATTAAGCAAGTTTGACAATTAAGTATAAAATTTTGCCAAGAGTACGTACAAAAAAGTATCTCATATATCTACATGCGATTATGATTGGTCACCACATCCTCTTTTCAATAAACTTGCATCATTTGGTCCAAGCAAGTTTGGTTGACTGAGAGAGATAAGTTTTAGAAAAATCAATCATATTGAGCAGGTTTGACAATTAAGTATAAAATTTTGCCAAGAGTACGTACAAAAAAGTATCTCATATATCTACATGTGATTATGATTGGTCACCACATCCTCTTTTCCAAACGCATACGGGCATATCGAGATAAGATTATGATTCATTATTCTAAACAGTCACATATCCAACATTGATTTTCTAACACTTTTCATTTTAGTTTAATATATATTTTTTTAAGTTAAATTTTCTATAATTACGACCAATATATATCAAATCTCAATAAATAAAAAAACTACAAAAGAAATATTTAACAGCTATGTAAGATGATACTGTTTATTTGAAAAACATTTTGTACACAATGTGTACCTTAATTCAGATAACAGTATATTCAAAGTTGCAAGAAGATGATGAATTTTTTATATATTTTTAATATATTGTAACACCAATGCAAGATAGGATAATAAATGCATAAGTTTTAATAAAATGTTCAAAAATCTCAGTAGTTAACCATCATATAATGTATCACTATCAATCGCCCAACCTTCCAAATTTCCTTTGGTTAATCTTTGTGGTAGTAATGTTGTCGAATAATCCAGTGAATTTCCTCAGTGAAGAATGATTGACCTCATATGGAGTACTCTATGTTAAACAACATACTATCAAAGCCTACAAATAGTCGATAACTAAATATAAACCAATAAACAGTTAACTAAACTTATAATTAGATTTCAATAACTTAAACTTAATCTATTTAAACCAGTTCAATTACAAACATACATCTTTTCAATAAACCTCATGCTATTAGTCCCTTTTTAATAGTTTTATATCAATGCAAATGCAATGACTATAATGTGAGATGATCGAGTCAATATAAGATTTTTTAAAATAGAATCCAAATGTAGATATGCAAACACAAACCTAAAGAAAAAACAGGTAAATTATATGTCTTCAGCAAGACAGAGGAAGTGACTCCGGGGCCAACGCCCCAAAAATCTCCAATCAACACATGAACCTAGGGAGTGATATTTCTTTTAGGGATTTTATATAATTGATCCAATCCCAATTGTATGATACGGTGGAACTCGATCCCTTCTAAAATTTCGTGACCTTATTATACATTTACAGTGTTTCACAATAGCTATCATGGGCACAACATGCCCGCACAGTTTAAATCGAATACTGTTTTTAATTATAATTACACTTTCATACGTGTGCCTAAATTCTAAAATGAAAACTGAAAAAACCTACTACATGATGATAAATTGATAATGTAATGTGGGCGGAGATGCCAGATCTATATGACAAACCTACAGACAACCACTTCAAGAGTTATCTGACTACTCCAATATTCTCCTTTGCGATATATACACATACATATATATATATATATGTCAATATCTACTTAATCGAAATGTAACAATATAAAATAAAGCTATGAATATAAGTATATAACGAATACATGACCAAATTAGTAGTGCAATCTCATTTATATAAAAGGGAAAGATTTTCTGCTCTCTAAAGGACTTTAGGTAAGCAAAAATAATCACAAATATAATTCTTCAATGACAAAATTGCAAATAGACACATTATCATCAGTGTCATCCTTTGAAAAACGTTTTTTAACATTAGTCAAAACAATTTAAATACAAAATAGCCCAAATAAATGCAGAAGCCCAATGATAAAATCCGCTCACGTCACTTTAGAAAATCCTTCGTCTTCTCCCTTCTCCTTCACCACCGGAAGGCAGTAACGGACAATGGTTACAGTCCACCACCTTCACGTAGGCAAAATTATACAAGAAAATAATCAACCAACGAAAACATCGCAACATGCCATGTCATCTATCCATACTATTACTATAAATCACATCAGCTCATCCCTTTCACTTTTTCGTCACGAAAGCATTCATAGCACAATAAAATAAGTTTGGTAAACGGCATAACAAGTTTAACCTACCACCAATTCTGGCGAGGCCTCTGCCTTTGATTGGACACCTCCACCTACTCAAGCGGCCGATCCATCGCATTTGGTTTCTTCTCGCATTTAGTAAGTTATGATCTCTCTTTTGCTTCAGATCAATATTCGCCGGGATGGAGAAGAAAGAAGGTTTCATGTGAGTAGGAACGTCACGGCAATTGTGAGACGGCTAAGGTAATCGAGGTTGCTAGCCTAGGTATGCATTTATACAAAAAAAAAGGTTTATGTTTGCTTTCCTATTTAGTATTCACGCTCTGATTACGTGCCATCCAGCTCCAATCTTAATATACCTCCGGAGAGACGAAATCAAGCATGAAAATTTAAGGATTCAAAGTTTTTGAAGTGAGCTTTGCGCTCAACTGTTGTTGAATAATTATCGAAGTGTGGAGGGAGCGTTGCTTCATATTTATTCTCCAAACGCTTTTGATGAAGAACTAACTATTAACGCCCAGGTTTTCTGATGAGTTTTTCCTCTTCTTGAGTTACTAATTTGAAAGCAAGAGCAAATCAGACGGGGGATCGTTTATTTTATCTATAGATTAACGTCACCTTCGACATTTTGGTTTTTTATTTTAATTCTCTTTCTCTCTACTTTATGTGGTTATGGATTCAAAATTGTTAAATCTAGCTCTCATAAATCCTAGCTACTGATTCGAGACCATGATGAGGCATGTTATTTACCGCACACCATCTTTTCTATTTTAGTTTATTTGTATATCTACATTTATTTCTATGTCACGTATCAGATGTTATTAGAGGGCTTACTCAATAAAAACTAGAGGTGCAGAACTTCCTCTCATGCTTTCTCATGGATTTCTTGAGTTTAGATTTATAATTATGCCCATTTATTTCCAATTTTTGGGTTTACTCTTCCAACAAGCGAAGCTAGAGTTCTGTTTCAAGACCTATGTTGCTAAGTTCCTTCTTAAGGTTTTTTAATTATGGAAATTCATCATTTCAACTAATTAAAATGTTTTCCATCAAATTATCTTCATTTTCATGAGTTATGGTCAATCTCTATCGCTTTAGGCATCAAGTTTTTGTGGTTTCAGTTAAATGTTAAATAGTAAAGCTTGTGTACAACACTAACAATCTCATGTGTTGGACATGAGTTGAGATTTTCATGTGATATATATATTTTTTACTGATGATATGGACCATATTTTTTCATTATATCTTTATGAAAATTTCTTAGATTTTTGAAATGTCCATATTCTTTGTTTAGATTATTCCAGTGCGTGTATTGATGATAATCACAATTTCAAAATGAGTAACTACAGTATTGTCATTCTACCTTACAACACAATGGATTCTGAAGCAACATGTGTGTTGAAAATAATCAACGAAACTGTTTGAATTGGTCTCTTGCTCACACGTTAGGGTATGATTCTAGACAAAAATCTGCAATCCTCGGTTCAATGTTTTTTAAGTGACATTTTGGGGGTTTATTGGACTATATAGTTAAATGTCTTGAATTATTCTTGCATTAAAGTTTTGACTTATGCAAAGAAGGCATTGCTTTTGCATCATAAGTAAGTTTTTGTGTTTAAGTTAGTACATTAGAGGTGTAAAAATAGTGACAACCATGAGTTGTAGGGAATCTAGCGGAACAAGAGGAGGGGACAAAGAAAGAAGAAAAGGTTTCGAATGTTGAAGAGAATGACGTAGAAACATTTGACAAAAGAAGAAAAATGGAGAATTATTCAAGAGAGAGATCTTTGCAATATGGAGTATAACGAGAGTATAGTTTGTTGAAGAGTAGAACTCTTGACGGTCTTTATGAGTTTTCTTTATCTTTCTGCGGCACCCTTCATTAATGTTCATTGCATTCTCAGCCTTTCAAACGTCCAAAAAGCAAACAAAACTGAGAAATATGAGTATGAAATTTTCTCCTCGTGCAAATAAATAATACAATTAATATGTATATAACGTAGAAATCTTGATGAAAAGTGAAAACTATGTTTTCTCGCATGGCAAAAGCAGAGTATGCTTCATATTTTTCAATATGCATTCAGAGACATTTTTCAGTTCAGTGAAACAACTGGTACATGTTCCAATCAGTTAGTAAAGGTAATATGTATATATCAGTTGTTATTCATGCATGGTTTAAAAATAACTTTCCAAATCAAAATCAAATGTCCTGAATTAATGAAAACATAACAAAAAAAATATAAAAATATAAAATATCAAGTAATTATACAATTCACGAGTAGCATGGGCAAAACACTAGTGAAGTTTAAAATTAAACCCTTGAATGTATATCAGGCACTATAAGTCATAAAATCACTAAATGGCTAAAAGCACAAACCCGAGCACATTATGCTATAAGTTATTCCACGTAAGTTCATAGACTTTTTTTAATTATTATAACCCCATTTTTTTATTATTAATATAGTATTCATCTTTATATATTCACGTTCTCGAGTGATTAGTGACTACATATTAACGCTAAGCCACATAATCATTTCAGAGAGACTAAGTCCAAGGCTTGTGTCTATCTTTTAACCAACCACGTGTCCCACTACGTGAGCATATACAATATCTTTATCTTCCGTACTTTACTAACAGCCATCTGATGGATAGAAAAGAATTTGAAAATCATTATCTTTTCGAATCGAATATAACATTATATTAAATTATTAAATCGTTACAACTTCATTTCGTCCGCAACATAAGATAATGTATTAATCTTATGTAACTCGGAAATTATTTTTCACATTCAGCAATACACGCAAATACATTGCAGTTACAATAATATATATATAAGCCATAAAACGAAGCTGGATCAGTTATTTGGGTTTTTTTTCTTTCTCGACGATCCAAGAAACCCTTTATTACAGAGCATTTTCTTTTTTCACGGAGCTTTCGCGGCGGGTGCGTCGCCTGAAGGAGTAGGCGCATCGGTGCCTCCACCACCAAGACCAGCCTTAACCTCTTTGTGGCCTTCGGCTCCGTAAGCTTTCATCTTGTAATCTTCCAAGGTACCAGAGTCGTCCACGTAAGGGCTGTTGGTCGGCAAGTCGGCGTCTTTCACTTCTTGCTCCGGTTTCTTCACCGTAGCTGTTGTTGTCGTCGGTGGGGTTTTCTCAGCCTCCATTTTTCTTTTTCTTTTTGTATATTATTAGAATTTGTTGGGTTCTTACTTCTTTGGAGATGAGATGTCTATGCTTTTATGGACGTTGGCGTACACTGTGGCTCGTGTGTTTCTGACACGCGTTAGCTACGCGGTTCCTCGAGATCTACGTGGCTTTGTGTTGTAATGGCTTGCTGATGTCGGTGACTTTATTGGTTGTGGGCTTTTTAGTGGGCTTTTTTGTTATGGCAAATGTTCAATGAAATTTTACCATTGGCAAAACAACTTTCACTCGTGCTGCTACAAAGCAAAAACAAAAGGCTTTTTTTTTTTTTTTTATCTTAAAATGTTCATCTTCAAAATTGAGAATGAGTGAATTGTCATTTACTTATTTTTGTATTTTAAAGAAACAAAGCTACATCAGTATTTTTCAAGCTACACTTTGAGTATAAAGAGATTTTCACGGAACTCCCTGACGGTTAATAGCACCGGTGGAGGAAAGATCCGACGATGCAGCTCCTCCCCCACGGCCAACGCCGCCTGAAGGAGTAGGAGCATCGGTGACTCCACCTCCGAGGCCGGCCTTAGGCTCTTGGTGACCTTTGGCTCCGTAAGCTTTCATGTTGAAATCTTCCAAGTTATCATAGTCCAAGTAAGGGCTCTTGATTTTAGAAATGTCGTCGTTTTTCACTTCTCTCGATTCTTGCTCCGTCGTCGGCTGTGGGTTTTTCTCCTTTTCCATTTTTTGTTTTGGTTTATTTTCCTTTTCACTATCGACTTTGCTAGGTTCTTTAGCCATATATATGCTCGATGTCTTTGTTTCTATTGATGACGTATGGCTCGTGTTGTTTAGACATGTGTCGTAAGACGTGGTGACTACACTACACAGTTCCTCAAGATCTTCGTGGTCGTTGTACGTAAGGACACGTGAAATTCTGTTCCAAAAAGACATTTTGCATACCAAGAACAAAAAATTATATTTGGGTATAGTGAGAAATTTTAGAGATCGACATATTTTTGCACCATCACATCATAGATGGTTTGTAAAAGGGATATATTACTAGAGAAAAATATTTGTAGACCTTTAGCGATGATTTCAAACCAAAATTGAGTGGTTGGATTATTGGAAAAGAAGATTCACCAAGCATTTGGTCCTCCATGTGTCTAAGTGAAACAATTATCTTTATTTAATTGGATCAGTTTCATTCGCAGAAATAAATATCGAATTATTTATTTAAAATGAATAAGATGGATGAGTTTAAAAAAAGATATTGATCGGGATAAATACAAAGACATATAAAAAGTTTCAGAAAAACCATATGAATAAAAATACCTATAAAACATATATGTAAAGTTATAGAAAAACTGCATAATAATTTTCATACGAATAAATTTGTTTTGTATTAAATTTTAACTGTTAATTACTATTTCTTTAATTATATGTTTCTTATCGTAAATTATATGAAATGTTAGTCTTCTTAATTATTTTTATAAGTTGATATATTTAATTATTTGATCGATTTTATATAAATGTGAATTCTGAAACAATTATATAAAAATAACTGTGAAGTTCATATAAGTAAAAAACTTTTAAAAAAAAACTTTCCAGAAAAATGAAAGGCTCTATCAGAGCGAATGCTCAAAAGAGTCCATGATGGAAACATATATAAAAATGGCCAAAATATATATAATAGTAAACTTAAAGTTTACTTATATATATAATAACCGGTTAAAACCATCCTGATCCATTAATGATATCATATACTATTTGATATTTATGTGGAAAAACCAAAAACTTTTCACAAAACATATATTGGCAAAAATAAAGAAAAATGAGATCATTATAAGCATTGAATCACCATTTTTGGTTGAAATATCTTATTAGATATAGCGGTTGATTTCTTTAAGCAGATCCCAAATCACACTTTAAATATAACTGATTCAAAATAAAAAAATCAAATTAAAGATAAGTGGGCCAGAAAAGCGATCATCTTGAAATGGAGTATTAAGGTTCTCACATCAAAAGAATTTGATGCATTGTACATGATCCAAAATGGGTTAATTGGAAATGTTATTGGTCCCGGATTGGATACATAGTACATGACTCCAAATGGGTAACTGAAAATATCTCAAAGTGAGATTCAGTTCGAGATGGGTGGACATAAAATATCATCATCTCGAGGGAGAGAATTAAAAATCTCAATAAGTGAAACATCCATAAGATGTTCATACCCAAAATAAACTTGATAATTATATGAGATTACAAAATCTTTTGAAAGATGATTTATTAATAGTAAGTTTATGGCATGTTAGAAACGCGATAGAACTACTTTGGTTTCAAAGATAAAAAATCCTTGAAAAGAAAATAAGCATATGTATAATTGTTTAAAAAGAGGATGTATCTAATAAAAAGACTATTGATATGGTTAAACTATAATCAAATATCTGAATAAAATCAGTGATAATGGTAAAGAGTTCTCGATTAATTAACCATGTTATTAAAAAAGATAGATTTAAAGATAAAATAATTGTCGACATATAAATGATATAGAGCATAATATAATTAATGAGGATCAAGAATCTCCACTTTGTGGATGAGTATAAAATATAGTTATTACAAGATGAAATCAAATAATGATAATCATCAGAACTTCTAAAGAGTTATTAGAAAACGTATAATATTTCGTGAAATTATTTTGGAATTAAAAGCTTTGAAAAGACAATATTGTTTTGAAGTGTTCCAAAATTGAACAAAGTATAAAAAGATGTTATCATAAAATGTCCTTGAAGGATATTGTATTTAAGCATTTGTAAAAAAAATGCTAACTGGTCTTGACATACCTTATATGAGCAATATCAGTAGATTTATGTATCTTGTAAATTATATTTGACCAATATAGACTTTTCTAGTAATATACTTGCAAAATACAGTTTATATTCTACACACAGATATTGAAACAGAATAAAATATATATTCTATTATCTCGAAAGTATGGATTGTTTTTCTGTTTTATTATAGAAACCTCGAGTTTGGTGTAGTTGGTTTTGCAGATGCAGGCTATATCAGATTTACATAAAGTTTAATCGAATTGGTTGCATTTTCACAAAAGGAACATCTAAAGAATATGTGTAGCTGAGATTAATAACTAAGCACATCCAAAAATCAAGTGTAATAATCATCAACAAGGAGCCAACAAAAATGTTTGAAATTAATGTGTCAAGCGTTGCTCAACTCAAAGAAGGCCATATCAAAAGCGACAAAACGAAGCATATACATCCAAGTTTTTTCTTTTATACCCAAAAGCTCGAGAAGAATAAAGAAGTGGATATTCATTATGTTTGCTCAAGTGACAATGCAGCTGATCTTTTCACAAGGCTGCTTCCAACTACAACATTCAAGAAATATGTTTATATTATTAAAATGTGATATCTATGAGATCTATGAAGAGAAGATGATATTTATCATTTTGAGGAGAACTGATATTGTTTTACTTTTTTTCCTTTTATTATGATTTTTATCTTATTAAATTTTCTCATGAAAAAGTTTTTAACGAAGCAACACGCAATAATGATAATAAATATTTTAAAAGAAATGTTAAATAATGTGATTATTCATCACATAAATATATACAAGTGTCACTATATTACCATGTTAAGTTATTACTCATCATAATATATGATTAATCATTATCTATGTGTCATATTTACAATATCTTTTGTTATAGCTATAAATAGCATGTAAATTAATGTTAAAAACATAAATGAATAAGTGAATGAGAAGAAAAACGTTTGTCTACTTTTTATTTGGCTATAGATTAATAATCTTTCTAATTGTTTATGTTCCTAACACACTAATCAATACCATAGTTCATATATAGGAAAGTCTATGATTTCATAACATCAGTATGTTTATCAAATAGTATAGATATTTATGATCATGTTAAGAACTTAAAGTAATACTAGCATTTTAAAATTCATTTATGATAAAAAACATAAATGCGACGTTAATTTTTTTTTGAGTAACTTTCAAATTAAAATTATAAACGGATCTAAGACTGGAATTAACTTTATTTAGTTACTTAAAGAAAAGAAAACAATGAGCTGACAAAAAGAACAACAGTTATTGATTCTGCCCGAATCTAAGACCGGAAACTTTTTTCTATAAAGGCATGTCCATATAAAGAATCTGCAGGAACAAGTGTTGAAAATCTAAGAAGATGAATCATGACATCACCATGACTCATATAAACTCTCTTCTCTGTTTCTGAATTCAAGTTTCCACACGAAGGAAAATTAGTTCTTATTCCAGAGAACTCGATGATCATGAGACCCCATGGCAAAGAGAAGAAGTTAGTGTTTCCGTACGTTTTCATGGCATGTTGCTTTTTCTTCACCATCATCGGTTTCTCCTATTTCTCTCAGGTTTTGTTTCTCTTTCTTCTCTTGTTTCTTCGATCATTGAGTTCTGTGGAAGATTTGCTCAAATCTCTGTTATATCAACGATTAGAGCAACAAGAAAATCGAATCTTTTGATCATGAAGAAACTGGAGATGGTTCTGTCTCTAACATTCCATATCAGGTAAATTACTCCTCAAAATCTACAAAATTTCACAAAATTTAGATTCAGAAGTAAAGATATGATTTGATAGCGTGAATCAGAAGTTTTGATGTGGCTGATTAGGTTTTAAGTTGGAAACCTCGAACTTTTCACTTTCCCAATTTCGCAACTAAACAACAATGTGAAGCCATAATCAATATGGCAAAACATAAGCTCAAGCCTTCTCTTCTTGCTCTAAGAAAAGGCCAAACCGTAGCAGATACCAATCAAAACGTTAGAACAAGGTATATAAATTTGCCTTTATATGATTTTTACAGAAAGACCCATTTCTTCAAAATGAACAATTTGACCAGAAAACTGAACAATTTCAAATGCAGCACGGGAGTTTTCATTGCTTCTTACGAAGACGAATCAGGGATTTTAGCTGCCATCGAAGAGAAAATAGCCATAGCCACGAAGCTCCCTAGAGATAATTATGAAGTAAGCTAATATACATACATTTAATCCAAGAATATAATAACAACTTCATGTATATATTTTTGGTTTCTCTATAGCCATTCAACATCTTGAGGTATCGGCTTGGTCAGAAGTATGATTCACATCGTGACGCATTCGATGAAGTTGAGTACGGTACACAGAGAAGCCAAAGGGTAAGCAAATATACTATTCTTGTTGTAGATTTGTTAAAGTTAATTCAAAACTCTTGACAATTTCATCAGTCATTCATCCATCGAATGTAGCTCGCAACGTTCTTGTTGTACTTATCGAGTGTGGAAGAAGGTGGAGAAACGATGTTCCCATTCGAGGTAATCATCACCAAAACTGTTTCTTTGTTTATTTCCGGTTTATTATGGTTTTAGGGTTGTAAAAGGGATTGTGGAACTGAGAAAGCAGAATGGGAGAAACATGAATGGAAGATATGATTATCAAAAGTGTATTGGTCTGAAAGTGAAGCCAAAGCAAGGAGACGCTATTTTCTTTTACAACTTGTTACCAAACGGAACAATTGATCAGGTTAGTGTTTATAGAGACAATCAAGAACACTTTTAAATGTTTAAATCTTTCTCAAAACAAGTTTTGGTTTTGTTTGTCGTTGCAGAGATCTCTACATGGAAGCTGTCCTGTTATAAAGGGTGAGAAATGGGTTGCAACAAAGTGGATAAGAGACCAATCATATGGAGATTATGCAGATGAATTTGTAGACTTGCATAACAGTAATTTTGAACAGAACTAAATGTTGAGTATTTTTCAAATGGCAAAATAGTTACTTAGGAAAAGGATTCACTTTGTTGAACTGCAAATTCCCAAAATGTAATAATGCCAAACTCTATTATATCTTCTGGAAGCTGCAATTTCTAAATGACACAAGGAAACAAATGTTCAGACATTTTCAATCCAAACAGTTACAAAAACTTCAAAATTTCCAGAACATTAGTAGAAATTCTGCAGAGAACAAAGCAGAGAAGCTGAGGAGCCTTCTCAATGATCACGTAACATACTAACAAAACTAATACAAAAAAGTTTTCCACTTCCGGGCTTTGAACCTGGAAATTCCAGAATAAAGGGTTTTAACCTTTGTGCTACAGCAAAATTTAAGATAATCAGTTAGACTATTGTGCTCAGTTAGACTACCCACAATGAGGGTGTTGAATAAAATTATTCAACTACCTAACCATTTTAATGAGCATGTTGAAAAATTTGTGAATCCATGTGGATTAAAATGAGTTGAAAAGTTTCAACAGATTAAAATTAAATAACAAATTTGATGGACCCCGCGTGGTGAGTTAGCCAAATTTAATAGGAAGAAAGTAATTGTTTTTGTTAAATTTTGCAACACAACGTGTTGTTATTCAATTTTTTTAATTATATATATGTGATTTAAGAACTTTATTAATTATGGCGTGTGTTTATTTAATATATTATATTTTATTTAAGTTTTTGTAATTTTATTTTATTTTAATAATAGTTATCATTATTTCTTATTTTTATTATTTGAAAAATTGTTTACAGAGATTATTTAACTTTTAATTATAAATGTAATTATTTTTTATTACTAATTAAGAAATAAGAATATGATATGGAATTATAGGGTAGGATGTTAAATTTTATTAAACAAATTATTATAGAATGTAAAAAATATGAAGGTGTTAGAATGAGTATGTGGAAAAGAGAAGATGATGTGGAGTGTTAAAAAGTAAAAAAGTGGGTGTTGAATTAAAAACCAATGTGGGTAGTCTTATACAGTTCGTACTATACAAATAAAAGTAGTATAAAATATTTTCCGCTGCCAAGTTCCAAATCCAAAAATTCTCATTCGGAGTTTTAACCTTTGTGCTACAATGGAATTTATGACAATCAATTCTAATTATAAATATATATATATATATATATATATTGTTTGTAACATATAAAATTAGGTGATCGGTCAGCTCCATGTGCAGGTTATAAAACATTTTATATGTTCAATTATGATTAATATAGTATTGAAAATGTTTTATTTGTATATGATTAATTATGTATTAATAATAAAATAATAAATATTTGATAATAAAAAATAACAATAAATTAAATATAAAATATTATATATTTTAATAAAAAATAAAGATAAAAATATTAACTAAGATTTTAAAATATTTCTTTTGATAAAATTGTAAATATGGTTACTAAAGAAACAGGAAAATATTAAAATATATAATAATTTATTTAATTTTTATTTTGGTCTGCATACATGTGCAAGTATCATTTTTATAGACATAATTAGTTGTAATATTTAAGTATTGATTATTTTTTTTGTATATTATGTAAATATTATGTTTTTATACATATAGATTTTTAGTGTTCAACAACAATCACATAAATGTTTTATATCGTTTTGTGTCTTTTGAGAACTTTTTATTTTTCCTAACGTGTACAATAATATAAAATTGCAAATATAAAAGTTATATTAAATAATAATTAAATTCTTGTAATATGTTTTGAATATTATCTGTATAATACTTTTTTTTTCTCTTGACATAATATAATCTTACCAATATATATATATATATATATATATTTTAAGTATACAATTTTCCTTGACCTATTGCTAATTAAACCAAAATGAATTCTACCATATTTATTTATCCTAAAAACGGATAGATAGTTGGTCTGCACATTCGAACGTACCAACCACCTCAACGCTCTTAGGACATATAAAGATTTTTAAAAAAATATAATTTGTCTAACAACTAAAATTAAAATTAGAATGTAATCAAGGTTAACAAAATATATGCACAACAAATTTGCATTTAAGTTGACTTTTGCAGTATTAATATTTATATTTATACGTATATTTGTAAGAAAATTGAAGTATGACTTTTACGTGTTAAAAGAAAATAACAAAGTATGTTTTGTAATATATATTTTTATAATGTATGGTTGATTTTTTTAAAAAATAATAATAAGTATATTTATGCATATAAATATGAGTTAGAGATAAGTGAATTGTAATATTTAGGTGTTGGTAAGTTTTTTCTGGTATTTTTCGCAAACGTTATGTTTTTAGATGATGCAATTATTAACATTAAACAATCACGAAAACTATTTCTATCGTTTTGTATTTAATCAAAGTTTCTTATTTTCAGCGTTTAATGATATATGGTTTTTCAATAAAAATAAAAATAAAAATTTATTATTAAATTTATGAAATTATATTTTATAAAATTCTCCGGTAGCTCTCCATTCATCTCTTCGTCAAATTTTTTTATAATCTGTAATTGCTCGCTTTCACAAACTCTCTGTAACCGAATCATTTAAACCAATCAAATCTAAATTTATATATATATGATTTAAGGTGTAAAATAATATATTTAATGTTTGATTGTTATTAAAAATTAAGAGTTGATATGTTCCTAACTTTAATATATTTGTTAACATAAAATATAATGGATCACAACATATACAAAACTTGATTCATGAAATAATGTTTTAATACGTTAGAAAAAATATATGCATTAAAAATTAATATGTGTAAGATAATATTTTAAATATTTCAAATAAAAACTTAAAATTGATGAAAATTATTTTTATTTATGTTTTTATGTTCTTTAACTTATACTTATTTTTTTACATTTAATGATATATTAAATATTAAGATCATCTCCAATGTATTTTCTATTTTTTTTTAAAAAAATATAAGTTGGCTTCTCTCCAACCTACTTTTATTTTATAGAAAAAAAATGATTGTTATTTTTTTCTTTATAATTGAAGGAAAAAATGACACTCTTTTTTTCCCCTAAATTAGAAGATTTAAAATATAAGTGGGTTGAACATACTTTAAACAAAAATATAGCCTCATATTTTTACATTAAGCCGAAGTCGTAAAGATTTATTTTTACTTTTACTTTTACTTTTTATTCATATACACAGTATTATAATAAAAATAGTTAGCTAACACGTTATTTATAATTTATTTTTCTATCTGTTTATTTTTTTGTTTGATTTATAATTTTGATTCTTGCTATATAATGAGAATTCATTCATATATGATATAAACTTTTCTTATTTAAAAATGTGATTTACTTAATTTTAATTTAACCAATCAAAATATTTTATTTACTTTAGGAAATTTGCATGTCACATTGATGAAGTGACATTGTTTTGCACTGACTTTTGCTAAAGTGATGACACATCAGATTTTTTCATTAAAGATGCTTCTCAAATAATAATTAAGATTAATACAAAAAGTTTTCCACGGCCTATACAAACAAAAGTAATACAAAAATATTTCCCACTCCCGGGCTTGGAACCCAGAAATTCCCATTCGAAGTTTTAACCTTTGTGCTACAGTGGAACTTATGACAATCAATTCTAATTATAAATATATATATACAATTTGTAACATACAAACAAAATTACATTCTTTTTTTCCACTTCGGGGAATTTCAGGATTTTTGGAGTTTTAACCTTTGTGCTTTTTTATATGGCTTAGGCAACTTCTAGTGCGTGGTGGTTGATCGGCGGCGCCTCTAAAGATATTCCGGCAAGGATTAACCACAAAAATCTTCTATGTAGTTTAGGGTTTTGGTCTTTATTTAGTCCAAAATTCTGTATATCTAATCTCATATCTCAATAGCAGAAGTCCATTAAACTACCTTGCCGAATGGGTTAGGGTTCTCTTAGATATCTGGGTGAGAATTCAGACAATCATAACCCATATTAAGACATCTCTCCATGGCAGTTATCTTGTTACAAAGGGTCCAAAAGAAGATGATCTTAATAAACTAATAAGACATGAACAAAAAACAAAAAAAAAAACAATCAATTTCAAAAATATAGAGTTGTTTCACCGCATCTTTTGAGCTTCCAGGTTTGTGTGTGTTGCTCACTTCATGCTGCTACAAAATCGAAGCGAGACCATCAACACAAGATCACACACCAACCTGAAAACATGTAGATTTGTCTTTTGATTTGCCATTGTCCTGCTTCCCCTTTGCGTGGATAAGTCACATAACCAGAGACCACATGAGTTACTCAGAAATCATAACTTGTGCCAATCTTGGTGCGGTGACTTTCCCCATCGTCTCAGTAAATATATACAACCAGATGCAGTGAACAAAGAAACGGAACCTAAAGCCATCATCGTTGAGTTCTCGATCTTGTGAGAGTATCCTCTCTGCGATAGTAAGATCAATTATGCGATCGAAACATAAGCAAAACAGGTTAACAAGAGCAAGGATTGTGTTTCAACGCTACGGCACATACCTGTATCAAGCAAAACAAAATAGCTGCATTAGCTGGGACTTGAGAAAGGCTTATCATCCCTCCACGTAACTCGTTCGGTACATACCTGTATAATTAAAGATAACAAGTTCATCACAACAGGGAAGAAAGATTCTTGTCTCAGCTAAATAATGAACGAGTAAATGTAAATAAGAGCATTATCATTACATGGTCCTTAATCTTGCAAGCAAAGGCAGTACCAGTCCAGCAAAGCCATGAAATAAGCAGAAAAGTATTACTAAGGTTCTGATTTCCTGCAAGATCAAAGTTTTTTCTCTTTAATGTGTGAGGCCGGCAGCGAGAATTTCAAGCTTTTCTGAAACTGGTAGCAAATAAGCTACCTGATAATCATAGGCTACTACAGAAAACACAATACCAAGTATTGCGTATATGTAGACTAAGCAATCTTCAAGCCGGAGCAATGATTGCCCGCTCATAAGCCATGGGAATGCTGTGCTTCCAAGCATTCTTGAACCCAAGAAACATGGATATATCAATCCCAGATTCACTTCTCGCCCATCAGCCTGACCCAATATGAACAAATTTTATACTCAAGCAAATCATAAGAACAAGATCATTGCATGTCTGAAAGTTATCCTAAATCATCAAATGAAAGTAAAAATCGTTGCTAATTTGGTTTCTGAAACATAAAAGTTGGTTGAAGTAAGAGAAAATTATCGATAGGAAGCTTTTGATCATACCACTATCGTTGGTGCCCAAAGAATCCAAAAGACTGCAGTGGAAAACTGGAGGCAGGCTTGTGAAGTTCCTAGAAACCATATTCTTTTATCTGATCAAATCATAAAGAAAAAGATTAGTTTAAAGTGAATTGAAACTGGAAGTTGCAATGCAAAAGGAAAAGAATAAAAATGACAAAAACTCTTTACCACCAAGAACATATGCGTAGAAAGCTGCGGAATAGTCTCTAAGTGGAAGCGTCTTCAAAGGCTCTTTCGCAGTCCGGACAATACAAATGATGGCAACAACGGACAATAACAGAGACGTTGTAGCAGACAACGCAATGCCGTGCTGAACATTTCCATCCACAAGCCAGTTCGCAAGAACTTGACCACCGATTAAAGATGCAGACTCAAGAAAAGTCATCAACCAGAACGTCTCATTTAACGAATCATTCCTCTGGCTTTGCTACAAAAGATAACACAAAAAAAACATTATCACCAAAAATCATTACTTTCGTTCTAAATCATAAACTCAAAACGCAGTGACACGAATACATTTACCTTTTCGTGTTCCACAACAAGCCAAGTCTCAAACCCAAATGAGTATATGAGACCAGCAAGAGACAAGCACACATTTGCAAAACAGGCACTAGGACTCATTGTTATCCTCTTCCACAAACTAAAAACCAAGTGCAAGACGCAATAGAGTAGACAAATCCTCTTCTGACCTCTACAAAAGAGTTTCAATATGATTCAAAAGTTAGCAACAAAACGAATCACTTGAAAAATCCAAAAACAATGAGATTTTCAAGGTTTGCTTTTGATCAACACTTACATGAGATCAGAGACCACACCAAGTAAAGGACCGATGATAAGATTAGTCGAATAGCCAACACAGAGATAAAACACCATTGTTTCTTTGCTTACGCCATAAGATGCTAACTCAAATTCTCCGTACACTGACCATAAACCTTCCATCACTGCGAAAATTCAAAATCAATGAAATTCAATTGGAAACTTTTGAGTACCCTCAGATACTAAAATTGTAGACCCTCATGTGGAGAAAGCTTCAGGAGTCTACCTGAAGAGAGAGTGTAGATAGCTAGAAACCATCTCTGGAACCGAGCGAAAGAAGAGGAGACGGTGTGATCGAAGCTACCAAAAGTTCTGTTTTTGGCGAAGTATGGTAACAGAAATATCGATAGAAATGTGGAAATGAAGAAGAAGACGAAGACCTTTGAGCTCGGTTCCCAAACAAAGCTCTCGATAACCACACCCATCGATCCTAAATGTCACCGGAGAAACTGCCGGAGAAGAAGAAAAAAAAACAACGTCGGAGAAAATATGGAATCTTAGATCTTGAAATGATCTATCAGATTTCATGTTACATCGGGCAACATAATTTTTGGCCCAATAGATTTCATGTTACATCGGGCCACATAGTTTTTGGCCCAATTAAGTTCAATTCAGTTATGACCTTTTCACATTTCAAATATGCATTAAAATACCATAAAAGGCTTAAGGCCCATTAAGGCGAATCGAATTATCTAGAATCAGAAACGCGTTAGGTGATTGGTGAATGGTGCACAAAGTGGCGAATTTATTGTGAGTGGGCATTATAGAAAAGAGGCAAGTGGAAAATTTGCTCCTCCTAATAATAATATTATAAATACTCTTTTCTCATTGAGATTGCGTTTTTTCGTGTATTTCAACTTTGTCGGCAAAATATTTATTATTCCATTTTTCGTTTTTCTTAATCCTCCTCTTCTCAAAAAAATTAGGGTTTGAGTAGTCTCTTCTTCTCTCTTTCCCTGCGTAATCGAATCAGACAAGAGAGATGGGTGGAGGAAACGCACAGAAATCGAAGATGGCTCGTGAGAAAAACTTGGAGAAGGCAAGGCAAGCTGGAAAAGGTAAATAATAATAAAACACGAGCCGATTCAATTTAGGGTTCGTGCTCAATTCTATAGATATATTTCTGTTGATTTGATCTAAAATTAGAGGTTTAGTTATTAAAAAAAATTGTTTTTTCTTGATGATTGTGTGTTTTGATCTGGAAACAGGAAGCCAATTGGAAGCTAACAAGAAAGCTATGTCGATTCAGGTGATCATTTGCTACTGTTTTCTTTTAATTGTTATGATCAGTTGTGAAAATTGATTTCACTTTGTAGATTAAGTTTATACAATTCTTGGTCAGTAGTTTTAAAGGTATTTGAAAAACCTTATAGATCTCATTGTGATTGTTTGTTCGGTACTAAATAGACTTATGTTGTAATGACAACCTTAGTTAAACTGTCTTTGTAATTACCAATTTCTTCCTTTGTTGATTAAAGACTTAATCTCATGTTGATTCCCAATTTCTAATGGCAACAACACACTTTCTTTACATTCATATATGAATTTTGGTTAGTCTCTTACTATAATTGAATTTTGAGTTGAGTGTTCTTCATCTTGATTCATTTGGTTTGGTCTTTTGATCGAATATTGAGTGTTCTTGTTATTCAATAACTCTGTTGCTTGTTGATGATATGTATTACAGTGCAAGGTTTGTATGCAAACATTCATCTGCACGACATCGGAAGTGAAATGCAGAGAGCATGCAGAGGCTAAGCATCCGAAAGCTGATGTCGTTGCTTGCTTCCCTCACCTCAAGAAGTGAAGAATCATCTATGATCTCTCACAAAAAGGATTCCAAATGTAAATGTATGGATCCTTCTTTTATGTTTGTATCGTCAAGTCAAGTTTCTTGGGTCAACAAATTTATATGGTTCTGTTTCTCTTTACTAAAGACTTGTCTCAACACTAAGTCTCCTGCTATTATTATTACTATATCATGAAGCTTTGTTTTGAACTTTTAACCCATGTTTTTGATATTGCTCTTTCATATATCAAATATGTCTATAAAAACATAAATAACAACAATTTTGATACAACTTCTGCTGTTTTTTGAGTTACTAACATCACAACAATAATTGGTTCAAAAATAGTAGAAAGCACCAAGATTTTGGTTTTAAAGAATTCGTAGTCTGCTGCTCTCTGCAGCTTTAACTTGAGCGAAGTATGGATGAGCCTATAAAACACAGAACCACAGATTATATAAATTTGATGAAAAATAAGGCTAAAGAAGCAAAAGCTGTGCATGTTTCTAAAAGTGATTATTACCATGGCTTCTCTTGCGGTTAATCTGTCTTGATGATCATACCGAAGCAGCTTATCGAGAAAATCAATGGCCTGAAAATGATCATACAACGAGTTTATTTACTTAAAAAGTGACCAAAACAGTTTGTAAACTTTTACATTTAGTGTCGAGAGGGAGAAGAAAAGAGTGGAACCTCTGGTGAGACCAAGTGTTGGTTATCTGCATTGATAAACTTGGGCCATAGTTTCCTGCTATGCCTGCAAATGAGAGTGGCTTCAGGTTATTAACTCAATAGTCTGAAACCAACCTTGAGCAAAGCAACATGTTTAACTTTCAAACACAAGAGAATCAAACCTTCCAACAAGTGCTTCTAGTTGAGGATCAAGATCTAGCTGATATTTGTTAAGGTAAGTATTTAAATCATCGGTTCCCAACACCTACGCGATATAAGAAGGCACACGTTTTTAATCGGGAATCAAATAAATGGACCCTTACGCAAACAAGTTAGCAACTTAGAGGCTTGATAAGTACCTTGGCAATTTTGACGAGTTGATCGTGATTGTCATGACCATAGAAGAACGGTTCCTTACGAAATATCTGCAGCCATCGATAAGCGAATATATAAGCCACAACAGGTGTTATTACCATTGTTCAGAGTATGACGAAAACAACTCAGAAACTCAGAAATTCAAATGCTTGCAACAACTTCAACATCAAAACTAGTGGTAGGAGGGAGTGAGATTCTCAGTTCTTACCATGCCAGCAAACATGCAGCCAAGGCTCCACATGTCTAAAGAATAGTCATAATCTTGTAGATCAACTAGCAGCTCAGGACCCTTGAAGTATCTGACAAAAAGTTCAAGTAGTTTTAGTCTAATGCATATACCAAATACAACTGATTTAGCTAACTTAACATCTATGAAGGCTCTTATTGAAAATGCCAAGGCAGGTAAGATTTGAGCTGTGGTTTTTCTAATATTACCTCGAGGCAACTCGAACATTATACTCTTTTCCGGGATGGTAAAACTCAGCAAGGCCCCAATCTATCAGGCGGAGTTTACGCAGCTGATGATCTATCATGACATTGTGAGGCTTGACATCTCTATGCATTATTCCTTGCGAATGGCAGTAATCCAGTGCCTAAAAATGCAACAGCGCAAATATCATATCATCAGCCATGGATACTATAGCTATGGATAAAAACCAATGGTGATCCAATCACCAACATTACCTTAAGAAGCTCGTAGATATAGTAGCGGATGTCATAATCAGTCAATGTGGGATACAGTACTTTAAAGTCCACACTGTTCACAAACTCAAATATCAAGCTAGGTGTTTTGGAGTGCTCGTCTCTGACTACATCAAGCAGCTTCACAATATTTGGTCCACCACAGAGGTTCTGGAGAATTTTGATCTCCCTCTTTATCTGCATAGCATTCGAAGTAATGGCTGATAAATCAAGTTTCAGCAACAACAAAACAACACAAAATCAGTAGTCTTTAACACACAAATCCACGAGCTAAAATCACCTTCTTCTTTTTCACAGGCTTGAGGATCTTGATAACGCAGCGCTCGTTTGTATTGACGTTTTTGCCTTCGAATACTTCGCTGTATTTTCCTCGACCAACTTTCCTCACAACCTCATAATCATCTTGGTGACTGAAGATGATTACCACAAAAGAAATTAGAATCACCCAGAAAGTATCTAACGATTCCACTCAAATGGATTTAAATTCCATATTTGCTTAATGCTACTTAACACAGTGTGACGAAGCAAAAACCCTAAAAAGTTCCACTTTCTCGAATTCAAAATTCGATTTGGGAATAAACCAAGTTACACAGGAAGACGCCATACAAGCATGAATTGGGAAAGAAAGGACCACGAAAAAGAGCAGAGATGGAGAAACGCGAGAAATTTACCCCCATTGAACAACAAGAGCCTCGTAGTCCCAGTACTCTTTGGGACGAACAACGTTAACATCAGTATAAACCCTAGATTTGGACATGATTCGGATCAGGAGAAGGAGAAATGAGATTTGTGAGCTTTTGCCATCAGTCGTCTCTCATCTCTCTTCAGGTGGTGGAAATGGATGACGATGACAGAGCAAGTGCGCTTGCGCAGGTTATGCCCAGTTGGAGAAGAATCTAGTGGAGAAAACCCAATCGAACCGATTAATCAACATTTGAGCCGGATTAAACCGTTTACCTATTTTGGTTATGGGATTTCCAAACTAAAATTGAAAATAAACCGAACCAATATTAACGTCGGTAGATCTCCTCTCAAAGGTCCACAAACGTTACCGTTTCACCTCAACAAACAAAAGCCCAAAAAAAAAAGAGACAGAAAAGCAATTTCGTTACCTTCGCTCTCATTTTTTTCTTTTTTGGAGACTTAAATGTTAAATGGCCTTAAGGCCTTGTGGTGGATTCACAATCTCCTCTCTCCGCAGCGCTTCCGCCGCCAACGACATCCTCTTGTCTTGCCTCTCCTTCTCTTCTTCTTCTTCGTCGTCTCCGGCGAAGAGGAACTTCCTTCTCTCTTCCCTCTCCTCGCTCCGTGACCTCCGTGGATTCGCCTCCAGCGCCTCTCTTTACCGTCAACATCTGCGCCAGCAGCAGCAACAGCAACATCAATCTCGCGTGAAAGGTTTGGAAAAATCGGAAACGCTGGCGCAGAAGATCGGAAAGTCTATCCGGCGTGCCGGCGCGCCGTCGAAGGCTAGGGTTTACGCCGATGTCAACGTTATCAGGCCCAAGGAGTATTGGGACTACGAGGCCCTTGCTGTTCAATGGGGGTATCTTCCTTCACCTTTTCGATTTGTTTCTTTGTTAACCTAATTAAATCGTTTTCTGGATCTCTGTCTTTGGTATGAGATTGGTTTAGATGATTTAAATAGATTGATGGTTCTGAAATTAAGGTGGAATGTAGATTTAGGGTTTTTTGCTGTATATAATGACGTGAAAACTTGCAGAATTGATATCCTTTTGTACATATTCTCTTTGACAATGCAGAAGTGGTTACGTTTTGTATTCCAACCTCTTCTATTCAGAAAAATCTTTGTTTATCTTGAGTTTTGTGTATGGTATATCGATGTTTGAGGTAGCTTCATTGATGACGCAGTGTACAGGATGATTATGAGGTGGTGAGGAAGGTCGGGAGAGGAAAATACAGTGAGGTTTTTGAAGGCATCCATGCTACTGATAACGAGAAATGCGTTATCAAGATTTTGAAGCCTGTGAAGAAGAAGAAGGTTTGTTGATCTTTCTTGCAATAAGATTCTTGAATTATGCGTAGGATGGAGCGTGTTTTTGAATTAGTCTCTAAAGTATGTTTTCATCTCCTTGACGCAGATTAAGAGAGAGATTAAGATTCTGCAGAACCTCTGTGGTGGGCCGAATATTGTAAAATTGCTTGACATTGTTAGAGATCACCAGTCGAAGACGCCCAGCTTGATATTTGAGCATGTGAACAATAAGGATTTTAAAGTCCTCTATCCAACTCTCTCAGACTATGATGTTCGATATTATATCTATGAGCTTCTAAAGGTTAGTAATCAAGTTTCTTGAATCGTAGATTGGGGTTTCTTGTATTGAATATTCTTTGATTCTGTAGCTTCAATAACGTCGACGTTGAATTGAATTTGTAAACCCACAATTCAATATCGAAGCTACTTGTAATTCAATTTTTTTCTGATTCTGTTTGTTGTTGTTCTTATAATGTTTATGCAGGCGTTGGATTTCTGCCATTCACGTGGAATCATGCACAGAGATGTCAAACCGCATAATGTCATGATCGATCACGAGCAACGGAAACTTCGTTTGATTGACTGGGGTTTGGCAGAGTTTTACCATCCTGGGAAAGAATACAATGTTCGCGTTGCTTCGAGGTAGTCCCTTTGGTTATTTGCTGATCTCTCCTCTGCAGGATTCTCTTTGTTTTTTTTGTTAAACAATTGTCTCTAGCATGAAAAATGTACACACTTGCTATGTAGAAGACCACATGCACTGAGCCATTGAGATTTAAAACTTAGAACATATTATCTCACTTCATATGGCTTACTTTTACTATCTCTCATCTCATATAGGTACTTCAAAGGACCAGAGCTGCTGGTGGATTTACAGGACTATGACTATTCCTTAGACTTGTGGAGTCTTGGGTGTATGTTTGCTGGAATGGTGAGCATCTTAAGCAATACAATTAGTTTAACTTTGGTTATTTTAAATACCGTTCAATAAGTTAGGTAAGTATCTGATGCTGAAAATTTCTGCAGATATTCCGCAAGGAACCCTTCTTTTATGGTCATGACAACTATGATCAATTGGTCAAAATTGCAAAAGTAAGATTTTTATAAAAGCTTTTCATATTTGAATCATGTCCCTTACCACTGAACACATTACATTCCTCCAAGTTATAATTCTGTAATGGTACGATAAAATTTGTTTATAACTTTGCCAGGTACTTGGCACAGACGAACTCAACACCTACCTAAACAGATACCGCATAGAGTTGGACCCTAATCTTGCATCCCTCGTGGGGAGGTAAGTTCTTAAAACCTTTCGAAATTCCAGATCTTTCACCTTCCCGTTACAGAAATTTGAATTATTTCAAATCTTGATTCTATATAGACATAGCCGGAAGCCATGGTCAAAGTTCATCAACTCTGAAAACCAGCACTTGGCAGTTCCTGAGGTACATATTCTTGCTTTACTCTATACGATTTAAGAAACCTAATACTGTAAAAACGAAAATGACTCGGTTGTTTTTTCATTTACTTTTCTTGAAAAGGCTGTTGATTTTGTGGACAAATTGCTGAAATATGATCACCAAGAAAGGCCAACTGCTAAAGAAGCAATGGTAAGAGGAAACATTTTTATTTGTGTTTCTTTTAGAATCTCTTTCAAGAGTTTCTTAGATTTGTAATAATAATTTTATTGATACTATGTTGAATTTTTCAGGCACATCCGTATTTTCACCCGATTAGAAATGCAGAAAGCAGCCGCGCCCCACGTGGCCAATGATCCTGAAAACATTTGCTTGTCCAATCTTTGATTTTTATTTCTTGACGGATTCAATTTGTTTTAAAAATTCGATTTGCCAATGTTTCTTTCTCTCAATTGTGTGTGTTGCTGTTTTTCTCCTTCTCAGTTCTCATTGTTTCAACTCTTTTTTGAATTTAAATTTAAAAACTCCACAAGACGGGTTTAAACAAGGTTTTCTTGATTTTTATTTTGATGGAAAAGTTCATCATATTTTCGATCTTGGAGATTAATTTCATATCTTCTTTATGAGATATGCCATCGTCTGGATACTTTTTTTATTCCGCGAAAATTCTGAAAATGCACTGAAGCTGTGTAGTATATAATCCATGCCTTCACCTTGTTAATGCCATAAACCATGCTACACAATGAGCTTGAAATACTGTGTTGAAGATTAAAAAGCTACTCACGCGCCTTTCTAGTTTCTACCATAGGGTTTTCTGCAAATATATAAATTTTGTTTTGCAAGATTTTCAATTCTAAAAAAATGCACGTGAACTTTTACTGTGCTGTAACGTCTTTGTCAACCTCTGGACTATATTGATGATAGGTCTTTATCAACCTGCAATATAACCATCGACTATATCGATAATATTACGATGTTGTTTAAAAATCAAACAGATTATTAAAATAGAATAAAATAGTTAAAAAAATAGGTTATGCAGTTTAAGCTAAAGATAAAAACTGGAATTTTTTTCAAAAAAGGCTTCTGAAATCGATATGAAGATGATCAAAAGTATTGTTAAGGCTGAGCGTTTGAGAAATTTATCTATAAAAGAGAAATGGGAAACTATATATATATAGTTCTACATGAAACCATCACAAGTGTGGGTATGATAATTAGTTTTTTTTGGACAAATTCAACTTTCCATGTTAAATCTTTGATAATATATATATATATATATATATATATATATATAGTCCCTAAGTAAAATATTACTACAGTTATTTTTATTATATCTCAAAGACAAAAAAAAAAAAAATACCCATCATGTGTCCACAAGTCGAGTTTATTCAAATTGAAATCACAATTATTACAAACACGACAGAAGAGTTTATTCAGTTGACATTACATATTACATATTTTACCCATAACACGTTCACAGGTCTTCATTGACTCCATACGATTCAAGAGAGACTCTTCCGGATCTCAGACCCGACCACCTGACCGACGTTACTACTCACCTTACCCGCGCAGCGGTTACGTATGACATTTAGGCTATAGGGCGGCTCATCGGTCGCAAGCCACTGGTCCACATTGAAACGATGTGTGCACGTAGATCCAGGTCTAACGGTGGTGACATCCACGTAGTCAAGATACCAGCCGGGCATGAAGCCGGTGCCGTCAGAGGTCACGTTCAATAAACATATTGGGCTCGCAAGACACGTGGCCTTTGAAGCGAAAACGTCTAGATTACCGTTCTCGAAGTAGTCGTGACCTGGTCCCATTAACCCACCCCAGTTCTCTAGGTTTTGGATTTGGACCTTATTACCGTCTTTGTCGGCGATTATAATGCTTACCTTCGCATCTGTGCCGGCCTCACTTATCGTTCCGGTTTTGACGTTAAGTGTGTAGACGCAATCTTCCTACAAAAGTTAAAACAAAAAAAAAAAGATTAATCCAAAAGAAAACCTAAGAGTATAAACTTTAAACCAATATTGTCGCACGGGAAATAGCAACATATGCATAATCTAGGGACAATGACGATGAGATGAGATAGGGGAGTTTACAGCGAATGCGACGACAGAGACGGTGGCGATGAAAAGGAGGGAGAGGAAGAGAACGTTAGGGCGCGCCATAGTTGTTGATATGAATGTCAGAAATGGAGATTTGAATTGAGAGACTTGAGATTTTAAAGTTATAAATGTCTATGGGATACGCGGACTAATTTATAGTAGTTTATTTGTGTATCCCACGTAGAGTGACTGTATTATGTTTTTGTCATCTCTCAAGTTTATGTCTAGTGATTCGAGTCTGGTGTGTGACTCGTGTTTAGTGTGACATGACAAGTGGATGGGACTGAGAGTACACCTGTTTAAAAGAAACCGTTTCTCCTTACTCCAACTCAAAGAGAAACTTTCATAGCGGTATAGTTAAAGACTCTTCTTGTTGATATTTTGTGTAATGCGTTTTGTAACGATCGTATTCATTTTTTGTGGGTCAGATTTTTGATTTGTGTATGAAGGCCCAATAGTCAATCTCTCGTTTATTGGTTTGTCAACAAAGGCTGATATACACAATCGTATGTATCACTTTCTTGATCTCTAACCAACCCTAGTCGTCAACCTGCACAATGAAAGAAAGAAGTGTGAGCTTTGTGCATGAAAGGGTGAAAGAGAAAAGTAAAGGGCGAGAGGGAGAAAATAAGTGTGGAGAAGGAGAGGAATCTTACCTGAGAAAAACGCCACCGTTGACGGAGCCACTGTCTCCCATCGCGATGCCACCGTCCCTAGTCATCACCATCGTGTGTCACTCATCACCTGGGAAGGAGCCATCGTTGTCGATGTTCAAGCCGCCACCACCGTTTCCTTGTCGCCTTTATGAGAAAAGGAGAAGCGGATCATCGTCATCGACCACCACCGGTCACCACTCAGCATAGTCTTGAGCCGCACGTCACCGGAGAGGGAGGGTCTGTCATTGGAGGTCGAGATCCACAACTGTCGAGTCAACAGTGCAGTCAAGCCGAGTCACAACCTATTACTTGTGCAGCAAGTCAAGTTGATTTAAATCTTCACGTTAACGTTCTGTCATCATTTTGTCTCCCGTTCCGTCGTTAAGTAAAGGTGAGGATGAATTCATTTCATACGATTTACTATATTTCGTAATCGCTAAGATCAGGATTAAACTGTATCAAGTGCATATTCTGAAATGCTACACATGCATCTGGCTACCCTAACATCAAAGAAAATGAATACTTTGTCAAAAAAATACAATGAAGATGAAATGATGAATACATTTTGGTTAAGTAGGAAGATGGTTTCATGTAACTCTATAAATGAACCGTATCAAGTGTGAAAAGGATAATGATCTATTTAATAATTAACATACATTTTAATAGTTTTGAAATTTCTTGTATATATATAAATAAGTGTAATGAGCGTCATAAAAACGTCTCTTAAAAAAATATTATTTGAAAAACGTTTTTTTTTCTAACCTACTTTTTTTTATACTAGGTATATAACTCGCGCTACGCGCGAATCTGTATTAATATTTTAGTTTAATTTTTTTAGCTACTATTTTTAAAATTATTAAGAATATAATATATTTATAAAAAAATTATTTATATAAGAGAATTTAATATATAATATGTAATTTATTCTATTTTTATTTATAAATTTTAAAAAACTATTAAGTAAAATAATAACAATGATACCTATCGAATTATCCAACTTTGACGTACATATACATTTCATTTAGAGAAATATAATATTGCTAAGATTTTGGTATTATTTTCTGTTTTCCATAAAATTTCTATAGTTTTTTTTTCTCGAAAGTTTATGTGTTCAAATATTTAATTTTTTTTATTGAAAGTCTTATTGATGTTGTGTACGACTGCATTTATAATCAATGATTCATGTTGATTCGCATTTAATTTTGTTAGAAAACTGTAATGATCATGCAAAACCATTTTTTCTTTCTCCATCATATCTCCCAAAGTTTTATATTATATTTTTATTCAGTTTGGATTGTTTTAATTGTCAAATCGAGTTGGTGTAAATTTTTTTAAATTAATAATTGATAATAGTTATTTTTTTTTATACATATATTGTTAATTGTTAATTTTTTTATTTAACTTTTATAATTTTAAACCATATTAACACGACAGAAGAGTTTATTCAGTTGACATTACATATTACATATTTTACCCATAACACGTTCACAGGTCTTCATTGACTCCATACGATTCAAGAGAGACTTCCGAATCTCAGACCCGACCACCTGACCGACAGTACGACTCACCTTACCCGCGCAGCGGTTACGTATGACATTTAGGCTATAGGGCGGCTCATGTAACTCTATAAATGAACCGTATCAAGTGTTAAAAGGATAATGATCTATTTAATAATTAACATACATTTTAATAGTTTTGAAATTTCTTGTATATATATAAATAAGTGTAATGAGCGTCATAAAAACGTCTCTTAAAAAAATATTATTTGAAAAACGTTTTTTTTTCTAACCTACTTTTTTTTATACTAGGTATATAATTCGCGCTACACGCGAGTCTGTATTAATATTTTAGTTTAATTTTTTTAGCTACTATTTTTAAAATTATTAAAAATATAATATATTTATAAAAAAATTATTTATATAAGAGAATTTAATATATAATGTGTAATTTATTCTATTTTTATTTATAAATTTAAAAAAACTATTAAGTAAAATAATAACAATGACACCTATCGAATTATCCAACTTTGACGTACATATACATTTCATTTAGAGAAATATACTCTTGCTAAGATTTTGGTATTATTTTCTGTTTTCCATAAAATTTCTATAGTTTTTTTTTCTCGAAAGTTTATGTGTTCGAACATTTAATTTTTTTTATTGAAAGTCTTATTGATGTTGTGTACCACTGCATTTATAATCAATGATTCATGTTGATTCGCATTTAATTTTGTTAGAAAACTGTAATGATCATGCAAAGTCATTTTTTCTTTCTCTATCATGTCTCCCAAAGTTTTATGTTATATTTTTATTCAGTTTGGATTGTTTTAATTGTCAAATCGAGTTGGTGTAGATTTTTTTAAATTAATAATTGATAATGGTTATTTTTTTTATACATATATTGTTAATTGTTAAATTTTTTTATTTAACTTTTATAATTTTAAATCATATTAACACGACAGAAGAGTTTATTCAGTTGACATTACATATTACATATTTTACCCATAACACGTTCACAGGTCTTCATTGACTCCATACGATTCAAGAGAGACTTCCGAATCTCAGACCCGACCACCTGACCGACAGGACGACTCACCTTACCCGCGCAGCGGTTACGTATGACATTTAGGCTATAGGGCGGCTCATGTAACTCTATAAATGAACCGTATCAAGTGTTAAAAGGATAATGATCTATTTAATAATTAACATACATTTTAATAGTTTTGAAATTTCTTGTATATATATAAATAAGTGTAATGAGCGTCATAAAAACGTTTCTTAAAAAAATATTATTTGAAAAATGTTTTTTTTTCTAACCTACTTTTTTTTTATATTAGTCAAATATCCACTAAAAAGGTTAAAAAACCTATTGATGAAGATGCTCTAACACTTGGTGCAACACATGTCCTGCCCTTTTAGCCGAGACGGGCATGCCATTTTCTAAAATTTTCCACCATAATTGAACTAACAATTTTGTTATATATTTTAAAGGTTTTTTTAACTTTCACCTTTTACCTGGTAAAGAATTGAAAAAATAATAAGATTCAACACGAAAAGTTGAATTAATTTGTCAAATTTCAAACACATCAAGAAGTGGGATATATATTAGTAGAGTCTCTAACGAAAAAAACAGTAGTATAGAAATGCCCTCACACGTCGAGTTTATTGAAATGAAATTACATTATTACCATGCATCACAGGTGCACAGGACAGACGAGTTTGTTCAATTGATACGACATTAACGTATTTTGCCATATAAGACGTTAAGAAGACGATACAGAGGTAGAAACAAGTCTCACTGATTTCAAGAGAGATTCTCTCGGATGATCTTCAGATCCCGCAGTTGTTCCTTATGACAGAGAGGTCATATATAGGGCCTTTTACCCGGTAAAGAATTGAATTAACAAGCAATGGTAAGAAACAATTTTGTTTGTTTTCCTTTATGGTCTCTTACAATAGTTTCTTAGATTATATAATATTAGATTAGGATCTACGCATATATGAGTTTATAATAAATTATTTTAAAATTTATAAAATAAATTAAAAATAAAATCAAATTATTCGTAAAATAATATTTTACTTCTTTCAATTTTAAAATTTATTATATTTCTAAATTTTGATAACTTTATTTTCATATATTAAATACATTTATTTCTAAGGATTTTACTAGTTATAAATTTATTTATCCTATAATATTAACAAATTGATTATCATATTTTTATTAGAATTATATTTTAAAAATTTAAAATAAAAAATTTATTATACGTAGTAAAATTTGATCTATTAACTTACATGCATTTCAGTTATGTTAACTTAGATTGTGATTTTCTATATACACTGGTTTAGAATTAATTATTACATAAATTATATTATAGTTAAGGATACAAATAGTTTCTCAACCATAATGGAGGAGAGTTATAACATGAGTACATACAATGATACAATCTAATTCATATGCTTTTCTGGCTAAGATATCTGCTGCTGTATTTCTTTCTCTATTAGCATGATCTAACGAGCATAACGGTAACTTTGCCATCCACCATCTAATATCAACTAGGATGTCTCCAAGTTCCATGCTATTTTCTCTTCTGTTGATTACTTCTGTTAAGCTCTTTGTTATCTCCCTCGAACCAAACATTTCTCCATTCTTGTGTCCAAATCAATTGCATAGCGTGTAAGAAACCTGTTGCTTCCGCTTGTGTTTTGGAGGTTACCTGATACAACCTTATGTGACCAGATTTGATATGTCTGCCTTGATGGTCTCGTACAATCCAGCCGACTCCCATACAAGTTTCTTCTGGTGTGTAGGAGCTATCGAAATTGCATTTTAACCACCTCTGGTGGTATTTCCCAGTTTCAGTTTCTGTATGATGAGACTTATTGAGTATCTGGTTCTCTCGCCACTGTTATTGTTTGAGCATCAATTAGCATTAATTTCAGGTCTCATGTGTCTTCGTTGAGATATAAATTCATTCCTCTGTTGGAATTAATTGAGTTTGGTCATATGATTATTAAGTTAGATATGGGTTGTATCAAAAGATGCTTCTAAG